TCTTCCCCTCAACCCACCCAACAATCAGCGTTGAAGCGATAATAAATTGTGAGTGACTGGTCGTCGTCGCGAAGAATATATTTAATGTATAATCGATTTAGCGGTGAAAGATTTTTCGTTCGAGTCAAAATACATGAAATGTTGTGCAATCTGACGAAGGGATAGTAGTTTTAATGTTAAAAGCATAAGATAGATAGAGTTACTGGCAATGAGTTACTAGAACAGACCAAGCATATATAAATATACTATATATACCTGATGATGCGGTAGCCATCGAAGAATAGTGCAATAAAACGAGCGCCGCTCTTCTCGCCTTCGGCTTTGTTAATAAATTTTTTCGTTCTATCGCTACTTACATTAACATACAATGAATCCTCGCATTTGTAACCCGCATATAGATACGAGCGATCGCGTGAAAAAATTGGACCATTTATCGATATATTGTTATTTAATTGCTATACAAAATTACGTTATATTTTTTACTATGGTGAGCAAAAAATATAACGCAATGGATAATTATTATAATTGACGATAAAGCTTATTTAATACGATAATTTAACGGCGTGATAATCAAGCGACTAAGCTGAATATTGCTTGCTGAAATAATATTAGAAAGAAGCTAAGTGAATCAATTTTCTTCAAGCTCGCTCTTAATGAAGTAATTATTATTTATCCAAGCACTTGTGTTAAAATTTCGACGATACATTTATTTGGTACTTAATAGCTACGTTCGCTTTCTACTCGTAGACGCAAATATCAAAGTGCGCACTTTGAATTCCAATCGCGATTATATAAACGCGATACCGTCTTTAATTAATTATCTAAAGCAGTTACGTTTAAACAAGGCAAGCAAATGCTTTTCTTCGGACAACTTATATCCACTTATTAATCATAAGAACCTAAGAGATTATTAGTTTTTGCTTTCGAATGAACATGATGATAATCCTGCTCAGTTGATGCGAATAGACGATAATAGACAAATCAGTATTTATATAAATGTTTATTTGCAATTAATTAATGTTGTTGAGATTTATAAATAATGAGTCTTATAAGATGAATTATAATTTTTTTCCTCAAATAATAATGAAAAGATAAAGCAGAAGAAGAAGGAGGTTGGAGGTGGAGGTGGAGGAGGAGGTGATGAAGAAGAAGAAGTGGAAGAAGAAGAAGAAGTGGAAGAAGAAGAAGAAGAAGAAGAAGAAGAAGAAGTGAAAGAAGTGAAAGAAGTGAAAGAAGTGAAAGAAGATGAAGTAGAAGAAGAAATTGAAGAAGAAAAGGATAAAGATAAAGTAGATGAAGAAGAAGAAGAAGAAGAAGAAGAAGAAGAAGATGAGGGAAAATGGGTTACGGGAATGGAAAAAAAAAAGAAAAAAGAAAAAAAAAGAAAAAATATTCTATGTAATTCAATTGGAGAGAAAAATTAATACGCGCGTTGTCTGGTAGAACAAAAATGTAGAAAAAAACTAAATAAGCACTTAGTCGTAGGTAAAAATAATGGTATAATGAAAAATGCACGTCTCGTAGCAGAACGTTTCATTACTCCAAGGACCAAATCAGGGCATGGATTCGCTTTAGAGATTGTCTCGATTGCGTTTTGCGTTCGTTTTTTCTCTCTCTCGCGCGCACCGGCGTCTAAAGCCTAAATCTACGACGGAGGATCGATCGATCGGGCTCGATTCCGATTTCCATCATTAGCTCG